AGTAACAATATTCTGTAGGGCTAAATCATGGTACCGAAAGATTGCATTTCCGACACTGACTTTTTCATTAGTTTTTTTCGCTAAGAAAAATCCACTAAGACACATGGACTGTGTGTGAGATTGAAAAAACGTGAGCGGTGTTCACTAGGCAGTTGGGGTACCTTAACGCTGGGGTCTGGGTTTGAATCGCCTTGGCCCCCTGACGCAGCGTACACGGGGATCTTCAGGCTTCTCCATACAGTAAAAATCTAACTCAGCCTGAAGGAGCTTATTGTGTAGCTAAGAGTTATTTGCCAGACTGTCATGAACTTCACGCGCGTATTTGGAAATATGTTAAAGGTAGGAAAGTGTGTTTCACATAAGTGCATAAGATCGTTATTGGAGATAAAATGAAAGACGCCGTATTACAATGAACAAAGAAAAGTGGTGAAGTTTCTGACAACTTTCTAAATCGACACGTATAACGATATGGTCAAAAATCTAGAGGCGGTGTTTTTCCGTGAAATTCTTAACCACGGAGAAACGATGAACGCGGACTTCAGTAAAAGCCGTAAAAAAAACGAGTAAAAAATGCACAAAATAAAGACTTTGGAAAAATAGAAAGCCGTACAAAACAATAGAGTTGTATATTAAGATTTTAGTTCATGTGGCTTCAGCCTTCCGGAAAATTCTGTCAAATCTTGCACGGAATTTCTCTTACGCAAGCTTCATATAGTCCAGACCGTGATGTTTCATATTGCAATTGTTCGGATTATTGCAACAAGGCCCGGAGGATAAATTAATCACAATAAGAGGTAAAAGTACGAAAATGCGTCTATGAATGGATCTCCTCTATCGATCGGCTGTGTTTTCAGCTGGTATAAAAAGACGTTAGAAGAATCGGCAGTGCTTAAATAAAGCTGAAAATATTTTTCCCGGCTAATATATGCTATGGATTCACACATTCAAATTCATTTTATGTAGCCAAAGAGCTATGAGTGCCAATGACACCCTCATTTTAGCCGGCACCTAGATAGTCGACAGCTTTCTTAAATAGCCTTGTAGATTATCCACAGTATCTAACATTTGCGAGAAGGTTGCCACAACAGTTATCTAACTTCCATTATGTGAGATACACATAGTCAATTAGGCTCCAGTATGAATGATATATAAGCAATTACATCAGCCTGTATGAGGGTCGCCTTACGCCCGCCGTTCATACTGCACAGACGAAGTGACCGAGATCATTTTTTTTCACTTCCTTCAGCAATTTTTGTCTCTTAAGCTGTTATTTGCACGTACCTGCTCTCACAGAACCAAATTAGTGAACCTCATAGCATGTGGAGGTACTTTTACATCGAATATCTTTAGGCAATGGATGCTAAAGTACCAAATTGAAAATAATCAGAGGGCCAAGAAACCGTTATCGTAGCCATCAGCGGCCTCGACGTATATTCTAACGATTCCATTTTCTTATTACAACTACCGCTAGACGTGCGTAAGGGTCTCTACTCCCTCCCCGAGGCTTCCTATTATCCTACTGGCCTTATTAAGGATCTTATGGCCGGGCATAAAATGCATCGCTGCACCTATGAACGTATTACAGCTCGTTGTATACGTTGCGCTTGCTAGATTTGCAAGAGCCAAGAGGCTACCATAAACCTAGATATAATTCGGCTTCTCCCTTCAAACATGCATACGTAAAGGAGATGTTTATAATAAGCAGAAATAACAACAAGGCCCCCAAGATTTTTCGTGTTTCAGACACAAAAAAATCTTACTTTAACGCTTTGTCTCGATAGATTGTGACAACCGATAAAAAGAAAGGCAATAATTACGCTAAATATAATTATGACAGCTTTATAGGTTCGATTGTAGTTTTATATTAACAATACTTTCAGTTTCCGAACATTTTACTATTTTTCTTAATAGTTTTTTTTTACTTAGAATGCACGTGCATATTTGTTTGGAAATTGTTCTGCAGCTTTCAGGACATACAGGAAAAAAACGAAATTCGCAAATGCTCAGCTAGATAGAAGATTGAGCAGAAGGCAAAAAGTGCCGACGAAAAATACTTCGTTTGTAACGTAAAATCGTGACCAATTTTTAGCAACCTAATGTTTGCTCCTTTGTTGTTTTCTGTCTTTCTTTGCTATTTTATTGGATCCTGTTCGAAAAAAATAAAAAATATGGGAATTAAGGATGACAACTGTCAGAACTTACCTTTGAAGACAGAGGGAGAAGAAGATGGTCTATCTGTCAGAACTTAGCTTACCTTTATTATTGAATTGTTTGCTTCAACATCTCTAGCGCTTCAAGCATCGTTTCATTCTCATCTTCTCCCCTAAATAGTGATCTAAAATACAGCAGCTTGTTACTACAATGCGCAACGACGAAAACGACTTGATCTCAAGGATCAACTACTAGTAATGGAGAAATCATTTGAAACCTTTTAATAAACGGCATCTAATGACTTTATTGACATATGGGGGAAACGTATTCTCTTCAGGTTTATTGTGAACATTTCTGGCCGTTTAACTTAATCGGCAATTTTTTTACCTACAATCGTTGCCCCGTGATAACCAAGCTACGTAACGCATACTATATAAACGTCGCTAGACGATTTGTATTGCGTTTATTTATTTTGTATTATTATGGTATTAAAAGTATATTATTGTACTATAATAATGTATCTGCGTTACCGTTTACGACACTTTTACATAACGTCGTGTAGCGATTTCCTTTTTTGAAGTCATTGCTCTACGTCAGATCAACGTCTCGATCTTCTATATGTCTACAGAGATATATGGAGCCTCTTGACAGTATCTATAGAGATCTATGTCACCTTTTTTCTGTCGCTTTTTTCTTATTAGAAGAAGAAACAGCAATTGGGTTTTGGAGCAATTGGTTAACTATTTGGAGCTCTGTCTTCATTCTCCGGCGTTCATGAACCCATCATCCTTTTACTAATCATAGCAGTAGTTATCCGTCGCCGAAGATGGGTGCCTGGACTGCCTACAGTATGCACAGTAAGCTTACCGAGCGGACGAGGTCCTTCGTAGTAAAACTTGCAGAAAGGCCGGAACCCCTGTAAACGCTGAAAGCACGAGGGTGGTGGCGGCCAGCTTCTGAGAGCAGAACAGCAAAGTAACACCGCCCGTTGTTTCTCCTCGCCGTTTCCAGCCCCAAAGCTAAATATTCGTAGTCGAACGCAGTACTTGCACAGAGGGGGTAGCGGACTGGCGGTGACTAACTGTTTTATGCTTTAAAAGACAGACGCTGGGGCTGCCTCATAGTTTATACTAAATCTGAACGATCCGCATATAGATATTACAACAAATGCACGCTTCACGTCAACACTGATCAGCTAATCCGACATTACGTTCAACGGACCTGTCTGTATATGTATGCTTCTTTTGTCTGAATGAAGACGTTTTTCTTTTACTTTATGATTTCTGGCTCACATTTCGACTGATCTACATAGCGAAGCCACTGACTTCGTGCTATTCATGCTATTCATATGCTAGCCAATACTCTAACTATAATCGAAATGTAATTTTTAAAACGTGCTCTATATATGTATATAGCCAATAGCGTGTATATAGCCAAAGATTCCTACACGCAGTTTGGTAGCAGTGTGTTTTAAGCACTCTAGCTCTTTGCAGTGCATAGATCTCCTTCCACAGGACATTGTAGCTTTGTAGAACCTAAGGCACTTTGAGATTTTGCCTGTGAACGAGGGTAGCTAAGCAACGCACACAGTAGTGCGCTGCTTGAGATTATAACGTCGTATACGGATACCTCTTAATCCTGTAGTTGGCCATTTATCTATCTAGCAAAGAGCACAATACTAATCAATATGTCTCAACTTTTGCCGAGTTGCATTGAGCCCTTTAAAGTGTAGATATACGTACGAAAACATGATGCGGTGCCTAGGATCATACGTTCCTTCTGTCTCAGTTGGGTAAGTATTTCGCCGGCTAGCCAGGCCAGTGAGGTAGCCAACTAAGGCAGTAATTGTCCTCACTCAAGTACTAGATCGAACAGTTATGTTGTATATAAGCGTAGTATACATTTAATTCCTTTCATTTTTACAGAACAACATGTGACATTCAAATAGGACCAACAATAGTGCATCCCGTTCAGGTACTAGTCGCATAACCGCCTAAACGGTACAACGTTTTTATTCGTAAGAAAATATGTTTCCATGAGAAGCCTATTAAATAAGATGATATTGGAGAACAATTAGTACTCTTGGAGTGATAACACGTCTTTTTGCAAGCATTATTAATAGAATAGCTGACAAGCTGACAACTGACAAACTGAAGACAGCTTCGCACGTATGTACTTTAAACGATCTCATCAATAAACTAGGATTTTTGATATCTACCCTTTTCTTTCAGACATTTTTTGTCGATAACAACAGCCGAAGACATACAGTTCTTCCTTTGACTTTAAGCGGATACGCTGTAGCGCATGGGCGATCGGAGGATAACCAGAGTGGCGAGATATTTCCCATATGCGTTACATAGCTAAAACTACAATAAAAATGAGAAGTAACTTTTTATGTCGGATCAAGTTACCAGCTTCAAGCGCTTCAAGTCTCGGAACGGGTCACTGAAAGGCTTTGAGACCTTGTTAGGTAGCTCCTAGGGGACCGGAAAAGCTTTCTTGCTGAACTGTTTGTATTACGGTATGGTTATATTATGGCATGTAAAATCAATACAGATAGGATCTTTTGAGAGTGGCTGAAGTTAAGAAGTACATCTGACCTTTATATGATGTTGAAATTGTGTCGTTTTATTCTATTAATATATAATCAAAGCCTAAAAGCTCGCTTTGGATTCTGTATAGATAGCTTAGAACTTTCTGTTGTTTAGATATTCGCCTTTAATTATGGAAATGCAATTTTTTAAGTCGTATTTTTGGTTAGTCGTTTGATCTTGACTGTTGTGAGCAGTTGTCTAAGAATGGCCAACGTCTTCCTAATTTGTGACGTGTTCTTGTTGGTTTCGTTGCAGAACTTCAGTTGACTCGCGTAACGGATAAGATAGTGAACGTCTTCAATCCGTTACGATCCTCCGACTCGAGATTATACCGTCGTACATATACCACTTGCCTATACCATAAGTACAATCCCGACAAACAACGATCCAACATCCCAGTTGGAAGCAGACTATTCGACTTCACCGAGTATTCACCGACTAATAATTTTTTATTTAAGTTTTTACCAGCTTTGTTGAGCATCCGACGAATTTCAGGAGTATTTAGCCGCCCCATATACCTGGAATCGTCTACATCATGTAATATTCAATAATACCCGTCAGTGACCCGTCGGGGACACACGTTCGCTTCACAATCTGAATTTTTTAATACCAATTTTTGCTCCACGACCAAATTAGATGCTTAGCCAGTTTAGCATTCAGAATCTACCTGAAACATCCCATGAAGAACAGAGGACCTTAACGAGACCTCAGCAACCAATATAATAAAATAATAAATTGCAGAGTTCAAAACTCGCTCTTAAAGCTTTTCGCGTATGTGCGTTTTCGCAGCCGCGATTCGATCGCGTTGATTAAGCACTAATTGCGCTTCAGAAGACGGAAAGCGTATGGGGTCATGGATAACAAGAAGTTACGAGACCTATTTTCAACACAGTCACTAGAAAATCTTCAACCGGATATGGATAGACGACCATGCTAACTAGGAGCCACAGAAAGTTCAAATCGCTAAATTCCACAAATGAAGACCACGACTTCGATGACTGCTTTTACATGTAATAGTACACAATAATAGAGTAACAGATGCGATAGAATGAAAACAGAAAAATATAAGATATTCACTTAATGACGTGAATGAAAACGATACTCAACTAAAATAAAAGAAAAAAAGAAAAGTTGAAAGATCGGAGGTCGACGTTTAGATGACGACTAGGGTACGCTAGCGATAGTCATAGGTAAGCAAAAAGGAACCTACAAGTGAGCTTGCTCGTCCCTGTGACCCCGACAAATTGCTTCTGCGATGATCGAACTCGACTCTGATAGTATCAAGTATGCGGACGCGGATTCTTTGTACGAGGCACTTTTCCTCACTCTCGAAGCCATTCTACCCAACCAGGATGAGAACCGGCTGTCGCCGAGGCATGCTGTTATGCCAAAGGGCAGAGGTAAGCTTAGAGTGTGCTAATACAAATATGTATTTAGTATTTTGATTTTTCTAGCGTTTCCACAAAATTGGTCGTTAGTGAATTATTGATAAATGCAGAAGGCTCCTTTAAATGTTACCGATGTACCTATAAACTTAGATGAGTTAGAATGAGTTAGACTTACGTTGTAAAACAACACATGCCGGTTCACCCCTCATTATGGTTAAGCAGAAAATCAACTAAATGTATTATATTTTGCTTTGAAACAGGCTTTATAATGCGTCATAAGCGACATGATCATAAAGTAATCGATAGTCATATTACAACATATATCAATAAATATATGTCGTAATGTAAGCCTACAATAACCCCCCAGTGACAAGGGTGGTAGTACCCCCCCCTTGTCTTCCCTTCATTTTCTAGAAGAAATTTTTGTGTTTGTAAATCATAAAGGGAGGACACCAAAAGGCTTATACTGGAGAAGCAATATCAGCTATAATTTTTAAGAAATTTTTAACGAAAACATATTATAACGAAAATCTTGTTGAGGTTCACAAGTACCCCTGCGGCCGAAATAAATGCTGCTTAGACTGGCCTTTAATTTAATTGGTTTACTGGTCTAAAATAAAAAAAATACTATTACGAATATTACATCTATTCACCGATAAAAAACTGCGCATACGGAAAAACAATATAGCAACTGGACACTATTTGCCAGAAAGATGCGTCACGTTTCCTTGTTCTAGATAGGTGGATTTATAGGCCAGCTATACATGAACATAACTGACAAAAGAAGACTTTACTTGTGATGGAGAATAATCCCGTTTACATCATGTAACGAAAATAGCCCATGTATGAAAAGGCTGAATGAGCCGGGCAGATCTTCCGACTACAAGCACAAGATCTGAGGTGATGTACTCAACCAGTGACTCCAAATTCTAATATTAGCTCATGAATGTTAATGCGATGTAGACGTGTGACTATTATTTACTGGTTCGACTGCGGCAAATTTTATCGAAACGATGGAAATTCTACTGATCACACATCTATTTTACGTCTGTAGGCCACCAGGAAGAAGATGAGTTGATAAATTTCAGAACAAGAGGAGCTTGTGGTGTTCTTAAACAAACCAATATTATTTATACTGTCTGCTACAGTTTTGAAATCAACTAAAATATGTATGTAGCATATTTAAGTAGTCGGTGTTTTTTGACGTGCTAAATCTGTATCCTATTTTCGTGCTCTACAAGTACTAGGACAAAGCTGCCCAGTGCCTAACTGGATAAACTGCGAGTCTCCGCGTGGAGATAGTTATGCACCTTCGTGGCCGTTCAGCCTTCCCTCTTTGTTAGGCTACCTGGCGCCAGCGCAATGGGAGAACAAACCATGGTACCCGAATACGGTACACGGCGCGCGCGTGCACGCAAACTCAAAATCTCATGCACGTAGGCTGCCTTCGGCTGCTGTGGGCGTTGCGTGAGGGCCTGTCGGCCCTCTGTCCGAAATAGCGGGCCACAGCAAACAAAAAGGTTCGGGAAGGACAAAGAAGCCGAAGAAAGGAAATGAGGTAGGGATAGGGCGTTCTGTACGACTCAACGATAATGCAAGGTCCAGCAATAAGTAAAACCTAGCGCTTGCTTTAACTAGAAGCTAGCCATCATATTTTCAGCCTCAGACGGCATAGTGATCAGCCAATGCAACTATTTATAGACATAGATTCCAGCTTCGTTGGCAAATAGAAACATAGTGGAAGACCATAGCGCACTCAATACCTATACTGTTCATTTTTCTATACTGCCTACACAAAGGAAGACACCCAGAACAACTCTGGTGGCAAACATTTGTGATAAATGTTGGGGCTGCCGCGCTAGTCCATTCCATGCTCGATGTTGCTGGGCATCAGTAACAAGAAGTAATAAGGTGAAAGCTGGCTGGCTAAGTGGTTCTTCGAAAGCGAAAGGTTTTCGATTAGCTCAGTGCACCAAACTTATCATGCGCTTTGACCTAACAGCATTCTTTCTCAGGCTGCTCTAAACGATTACGATTATCTTGTCTGTCTGTACTGGGGCCTGGGAACCGAGCGAAACTAATTACTTGGCCGTTGCCGTCGCCGCTGCCAACTCTTCACTCTTCCCCCTTGAACCGTTGCATTTCCCTATACTCCTTTAGGTACTTGGCGAGCCCGCATACAGCTGAGGCTGGCTTATTCATCGCATAGCCTCTATTCTACCCATCGGTTTATTCTTCCGTCTGTTAAATCACGACTTAGATTGCTTGCCATGTCATAGTATTATTACCACTATTATAGTGAAAATTTTCCCGATGAAAAGGAAAAGCAAATCGGTATGCACAGGAGTAAAGGTTGGGTGAAAATTGAACAACAGTACAGCACAATTTAACCGTTAGCCTCTACTTGCGCTTCTGTTTCAGTCAATCCAGCCGTCCCTCGACTATTGACTCGGTTATCATTATTGGACGAACACTTAGGTCTGACTCGGAGCACCGTAGAAGCTTGACGATACCGAAAAGGATTAGGAGTTAAAAATGAGTTCTTTTTAATTGAATTCGTGTATCGTTTGCTGGCCCATACATAAAGCCGTATTTATATTTAAAGAAGAAGAACAATATATCTTAAACCGTTGTGTTCCGTGTGGCAGCTACGCCCTGTGGGCGCTCCGTGTCGTCATTATTGGCTGGTCATAGGTTCTGAAGGTCGGCGAGGGGCATACAACTGGTTTCGCCGGGTCCTATTGCATCCCGGTAGCGTTTTCGCCTTCGGCGTCGCACATCGAAACTATGCCCTCGCGCTAACTATTTCCGGTGGAAATTGCCGAATTAGCTTTACTTCCGCCGTCGTTAACATACAAGCGAAGCTCGTCGCGGGTCGCTAGAACGCAACGCCCTGAGAGCATGTGTAAGCATCGCGTCGAGTTCAGGGGTTTATTATAGATTGATTAGCAGGAAGAAGGTGGGCGGAAGTTGAGGCAGCAACCGTGAGTGGCCGGATGGCGTTAGCGGCGGCACCGTATGTGTAATGACCGACGTACAGCGTTGAAATGCCTTGACTGATTCTGCAAGCCTACGCATTGGCAGTTGTGCGATGTAACGAGCAAGGGAATCGTGTGATGCGCATCGTCGAGCAGACGCCTAAAACAAACGAACGTCTGCTGAACATCAATTCGTGTGTTGTTTCGACAATGGCAAACGCGTAAAGATAGAGTAAGAAGTCGATTGTTGAAATTAAACGACAATCTAAAGACAAACAAAATTGGATGTGGAAATGGCTTGCTTAGTTGTTACCGCTTCAACAACGTTTGCTATAGGTCTGGTTGAAGTGTAGCAAGCGACTGGCGGATTAATTCGTGCTGGGTAACAATGAAGTGCCAGGTAAGTTTAAAGATAAGGAATGTAACTGGTTCTAGGGGCAACGTGACGGTGCTATAGGACGCAATTGAAAGTTGGGAGCATTAAATTCGCAAAGGCATGAACATCGACGAAAATAGGCGCTTTGAATAAAGTCGTTTTCTATGAAGTTTTCCGCAAATTAATTGGAAGTAAGGGTGAATACGGGGATCTTTCAGAAATAGGCATGCATATACATGATAGTTAACGGTGATTGTCTCTGTTTTTCTGAGACCTAAAAACAACTGAGTTATTGTGTCAAAGCAGATTTGTGTCGCACCTAATGAGAAAGTGTACGTTTTGGCGTCATCTAAAAGACTTCAAGTGATCTGTTCAGCCTCGAACCAATACGTGAGGTTTATCTCAAAGCACAATTGACAGCAACCCTACGTATAGAAAAAATGAACAACAAACTCGCAGTTTCATGTAGCCGGGGACACCTGGCCTCAAGAAGACAAGCTGACAGTACAAAGGGAGCCCCACTATAGGTTTCACAAAGAGAAATTGGCATCATGCTTGACGAGTTCCACAGTGCTGATAAAAAAAAAAACTGCGGGAGTACGTATGCGGCTGTGAGCACCACGGATTATATATCCGTCCACTGCTGAATAAAGGGAGCAATTATCCATGATGTACAAAATAATAGGGGCCACATCTTCTGTGTTTAAGGTGTTGAGTTTCCTAAAGCAGCTGCAGTCAAACAAAGCGGCGAAGAAATGTCCAGAAGTAACGCTTAAAAAGTGCGACTGAAATGCTCACCTGCAAGACAAGTCAATTCCATAGTTGCCTACAGCATAAACGCCTGCTAACATACTGAAGCGATGCTCTTAAGCTTCATCTTCAAGGGAAAAAGCAATCCGAGCGGCTTATCTTTATGAAGAACAATCACGACGAAAAGCTGCTGGACACATCCCATCGCACAGCGCCTGATGAGGTTTTTGGAAGCTGGTTTATGTACACCTATTGCAACGCATAGATTCCGTGCAGGATGCTCTGTTCTTAAAACATGCGACATACAACTTCATAAACTGATCCGTGACTAAAACAGGTGGTCTACGTCGCGTTCGCGGATTTAAATCGGTATTTGATATGAGCCTCGAAACAGAATTTGAATAAAACTTGCACAGCACGGAGTTTTTCAGAACACGCTGCATTTGACCAGGACAATTGGCCAGAAAATTTGGCTAACATAGATGGAATACCTTAGCACGAACTGTTCGCTCGACACAGTAAAGGCTGATAACCTGAATTCACTGCTTTCCTTTTACTGCTAAATTATCCGGCCCTCCCTATCTAAAATCTAGCAGGACAACGTAGAGACGCTGCTTTGTACCGACGAGTCTGTCATCTTTGGAAGGACATGGTTTTTCCAGCAAGCTTTCGCGAAGCTCTCGTTATAAGTGGATGAAGCGGACTAATGATCAACATGGACGCAACGAAAGCGATGAAGTTCTGCCGCTATGACCGCCTCGTTGCTAATGACGTGCTTTATATGAACCGAACAGCTTTGAGGTACGTGACCAGCTTCAAGTACCTAGTGATTTTACCAACGAATGGCCGAGTTTTTGCAAAGCACATGACGAACAGGGTACAACGAGCGGTGGTATACGAACTCTTTCCAGACCTGCTTCACAAATGAGTAGTGTGGAAAGAGCCTTCAATGATGCAGCTTGAAAACCTCAACCGAATTAAGCCTGCGTTCCTAAAACATGCTGTGAACCTGAATCGTTCATCATTAAACAGAAGTGTGTACATTGCAGGTAATGCACCGCTATCTGTAGCAGGATCTGTGCAGATTCAAACTTTCCACTACTCCAGCTTATCTAAAGTTCATTAGCACAGAGGAAGACTGGGAAAGTCGATGCCGATTTGCATAGACGAGGCGATAACCAATGACAGAGCCTGAAAAGAAACGAATAAATGAATCGGGTGGCAAGCACGACTTATTGTACAAACAAGCTCATACATACGTTTTGCTTTGTAGTAATGCCCACACAAACAAGTTTAAATTACCCCTCTAGTACAGATGAGAAAGCCTCATTGGTGCTGCTGGAGCAGTCAGGTCTACGCTAAAAGCCACATACGCCTCCCTATATATTCAAATAGAACGATGAAAGAAAAAGACAGCAGGATTAATTGTACCTAAACATTTCTTCGCGAAGGGTCGGCTTTTGAATGTAAAATTAACTGATTTAGGCAAATGTGCCAATGCGTGAAATAGCTTACGCTTTTAGCTGCTAACGGCAAACCCTTCGTAATTCGTGTTTTATCGTTAGACATCACTAAACCTCTATTAATAGGGCTATGCTATGTTCGATTCAAGAAACTGACCCAGCTTCTTAACTAGATGTAACTTGAACTCAATTTCGACTTTTACATACTTTTATACGCCCACCTTTTTTATGTTCACTGTGGACTTTTTTATTGCTTTGAAAGTTTGTTCCATGCTTAGCGTTACCCCATATGTATTAAGGTACTTCGCAGTTCCCAAATCGCATACAATAACGCTCTATTGAAGTAAAAGCTGATTTCAAGGTAGTACCGGGGTGGATACTGTAGCTCTCTTTGTGTAACCCATGGCGCCTTTTAGTCATGTTGCTACTTCCATTAAAAAAATGTTTATTGTGATATTATTTATAATTCATTTATCTTTTGTCCATTAGGATTTAAAACATTGAATGTATTACAATCCTTCACGGTGGCTTCTGTAACTGGTACGGGTGATCGTTTATTTCCTGCATCCTGAATGACTCCAAAGCCGAAGCCCCTCTGTTTACGCGGCTGAAGTGTTAAAAACATTGGCGTGCCTTAGCGGCTAGTAGTAAAACGAGATTTCCTGTTGACCGAACTCTGTGGGGGTGTGGTAAAGTGTATGTTTTAAGCTACGTTTAAAATAATTTCAGATAAATTATATCGATAGTCTGATAAACAAATGCATACTCTGACTTTTCCGATTTGAACATATGCCAAACCAACGTGTACGTAAAAAACGTATGCTATCCTGGTACGCACAAAATATCTAGAATCGTTTTGAAGAAGCGTCATCAGATGTGCTTGTCACGTGTTAAAAACACGTAATTCTGTTGCATTTTCTATTTAGGTGCTATCAGTACCGTGCGGGATTTCGTCGAGAGCACAATTGTCCTCCGGAAGGTCCAGCAGGAGTTAGGACTTAGCATAACTGGCGGCTCTGACACCTACTTTGTAAGTTTGCTAAAAACTATCATGAGTATGGGTGATTTGGTTTCGCAAGAAACTGTTCTACTAACTACTCATATCATTCAGTTCATTTGGAACAAAAACAAAACGACAATACTCTGATTGTATGCGACTAAAATCTAAACTACATATCATTGATTTTTAGAAAGCACTGTTTTTGTACGTGCAATTGGAAAATACGTTCCGTAAAGCACAATCCACTATAAAAGATATTACCAAATTGCGTATGCAAAAACTTCTACTTTTTTTGTTCATATTTAGCATAAGCTAAATATGAACGAAAAAAGTAGAAGTCATCATAAAGTTGGACAGAGGCATATGTCCTATTACGGGACTCAACCTAGCAAGTTCCGGCTTTCCAGCCAAAGATTTAGTCGTTAAAGCCATTAGGGAATTATGATTAATAATGATAATACTTCTCAATTTCGTCTGTCATTTGTTGACAACTCGCCTTGAGCATATGGATGTCGCACGTGTTTTTTTCCATTCCGATTATATCCGATATGAGACATCCGAAAAGCTTCCGATTGATAAATGAGGAAGTACTTATTTAGTGATTGTAGTATTATTTATTCAATATTTTCTGAAGGGATTCACGGCAATGACTGTTATTCTTTCCAAAAGTCACTGATTTATAGTGGAACGTATGCTATATAGTCAAATACCTAAGAATAGACCTCACGTAAGGTTTAGAATATTCTAGATATTTTAGAAAACATTACGTTTGACCATTCAACTATGGGGTTGTGTAGCAATTTTGTCTGCGTAACAGAATAGCTGTTTTTTCTTGCGCAAACATTAATTAGGGCACTGTAACGTCATATTGTCCTTAGGTACCTTGCCTTTTTTGTACAACATCGCGTCAGTAGATAAATAGGTTTTAGTAAAGTAGGTTTTATAGTGCATATTTTGGCGTACATCTAACCTATTGCTCTTCGACAAATTCTTTATAAATTAGTAAACTCCCGATATCAGCTGAGCAAGAACTTTTGTACCGGAAGAGTTTAGACGTCGATAGACATCTCAACGATATGAATATGCGAGAAAATGGCTCTAACTCTGGGGAGTTCATCGTTCATGACAGTTATATATATATATATCTATATATAAATTCGTTATAAAAAAAGTCTAAGCTCACCTTGACTGAGATCAAGAAACTCGATTCAATTAGCTTTATTTAGTGAATTAGTTTTTAATTCGTGGAAAAGCTACTAGTTGATTTAATTAGATTTCTAGGCCCAGCTTGCTAAATTTCATTCTTGTGATTTCTACGAGAGCAGCATTGAGATAGACTTAGGCTTTTTTGACCTAATAAGCCTAAACATCCATAGGCTTACTAGCTTTTTAGCCAACATTTGGAGATTTTTTAGAGTATATTGTGAGATAGTGAAGGGCACTAGAGAATTGAGAAAATACTCGGAGCTCAAGATTGACAAGATAACAACGTATGCTCGTTTGTACGAAGATGCTTTTTGTTTACTTGGCAAGTACGCACTCGAGCTCTCACGGCTATTTCGAGAACCCTCGGGTTTACGCAAAAAGGTATGAGGACCTAATCTTTCAACAAGGCAAATCTCCTGGTGCAGCTAGAATGATCTAAAGATAAAGTTTTACGGCTGCCACCCGTCTCGGGAATCCCATAAGACGGCTGGCTCCTAGCACAAAACGAAGTGTGCGTACGATCGGATACAAGACCTAACTATTACGTATCTATATGATGGCATAGTAGTAGGCAAACATGCTGCCCACTACTATGCCATCATAGGGACAAAAAATGGTGTTACCTAATAGAAACTCACATCTGAAACTTTTAAAATATCCGTTATCGTCTATAAAAGGCGACTGTACGCTTAGGAAAACATCTTAACAAAAATCAAGTAGTAAATAACCGAATTAAAGTTAACGGGGAACACTAAACGGATCGTCACGGCTTCATTGATAGCGGCGCCTGAAAACCTGGAATGCACAAATGCAAAGTTTTACTTATATAAATAACAATAGGACTAGGAGAGCATGATGTTGTCAGAGGTTGTGCTCTTGAGTTATTCAAGAAACTAAATAAAGGTGTTCTAAATAAAGATGGAGGCCTATAGTTTCCAGGCTTACATACACAACTTGCATCAGAATACACACTGCCTGTGCCCACCTCACTCTTTTAAATCCTTTGTTCCGTTCTAATTGAATGATCAAAGCCTAATTTTTTGTAAGTGTTAGGGTAGCCATTTTCCTTTCCACTATGCTATTTTATTGGCCTATTGCTACGGTTCTTGTCTATGTTCTTTGTTACCCTTCTATTTATTTTTAGCTAGTGCTGGCATATTTTTATCGTCATAATTATTATTCTTCAAAAAGCATTATAATATTAATTCTTCCTACTGCTATTTCACATATCATATCGCTGTTGAAATTACATGCATATAAAATCGAAATAAAAAAATGAGAACATTTTAGATGAAACCAACCTGTGTCGTATCAAAGGTCAGTGCTATAATATTTTTATTAAGAAAACCTAATTCGGTGCACAAGGGCCGTGATTATGACCTTGTGTACAAAGAACTGACCGAGTTTAATAGACGGTTAGCCAAATGTGAACGTTTAGAGAGGTCCGTAGGTGCCTTAAACCCATGCGATAAAATAGGATACAAAGGCGACCCTAAACTAATACCCTTGTCCATTATCTGAATTCAGTACAGGCATCACGTACCGAGTCAAAATTCACACCAGCATTCTACGAGAACCACATGGAAGCCCCTTAGAGACCCACAAAACTGGGGCACTTTGCAAGCGTATTACATCATTTTTTTAACTGCTGCATTCGATATTTGATTGTATTAAACGCTGCATCTGTGAGACCTTGGAAAATTATATTAAAAAATGTTTTTTCGTTTTATTCCGCTGTTGTTTTTGGTGATTCATATACTTGTAATAGGACGCTGTTTGTGTGTCAGAGGTTCACAAGGACGGGGCAGCCTACCAAGACGGGCGCTTGAAGAAAGGTGACGTCATTCTAGCTGTGAGTTATTTACCAACGCCTACAAGCAAATGTAGCCCGATATAGTTGCGTACATAAACAGCGTAAATTATCTCGCCTTGTTTACATTAATAGTGTAAAAGTAACCTAATCTTACGCAAACACTGAGCACCCAAAAATGCACTCACACATTGAGCACATGTTCACTTTCTCGCATTGATAAGCAGGTAGGATAGGGATTTAGTTTGACATTGTTAAACTGGATCTCAGTCTAAAGTACTCATGACTATTTGGGATGCGTTCTCATTCCTTAAAGCTAACTGTTGCGTTTTAAACCGCCCGAAGCAAATCGACGATCCTATTCATTTAATGTCCACTAACAAGTTGTTATTTACTCTATGCACACGCGTAGGTGTTTACCTACAGATGATGAAATGGCGCAAAATTTAAATGTGCCTTGTCTATATCGAGGCAAAACTTGAACGAAGGTTCCATAGGGTCTTTTTACTTTATTGACGCATGATATGCATATGTAAACATTCAGAAAGGCTATCCAAATATCGCTAATGTCATTAGGATTGTCTGTTCGTACGCGTTTTAGGATAGCGCCCCTCTCACTCTCCAGCGCTACCGAAAATCTAGTTAAGGGCTAGTCTATGAAGAACCGCGGTGTTCCTTTGAGCTTGTTAAGCCTACAATCCTCTATGCAGCCGAATCCGTTAATCATTGTTTCAGAAAGTTGGGCCATCGCACGAAACGATAGACGACTACGCCCACCTTCGAACCTAAACTAACTTACGTATGCCTTAATTTGGTAAAACAGGTTCCCGCTACAGGACTGAGGTGAGGTTCTTATATTATGATACATACAGTGTTTACAATCTGTCGCGCTTTGAAGTAGGCAAATTACGTTCTTTGTATTTATTTATACCAACATAACGTTTGACGATTTACTGAGCGCAAATTTATCATCTGAGAAAGGTGTGGACGGCTGGATACATCCCAGCCAACCGCAAAAAAAGCACGCGTCAGTGTATACCGGCGATGTGAGCACATGATATCTCACATCATTGAATCTCGATCTTATTACTCGTTACGATAGGGTAAAGTGTTTTGCGATAACGAGTGGGAGAATATTCAGTGACGTTGATGGCGAAAAGAGCCGTTTAGATATTTTCATTCATTTAGCGGAGTTCGTTCGTGAGCTATCACTGATTTTTACCAAATAATTCTATTTTGTTTAACAGTAATTATCTGGTCGACCTATTTACAATAGATTTTCTTTCTCTATATTTGCGCATATCTGTTTTTGATCTCTGCTGTTCCATATTGACACTCGGCTTCTCGTTTCCTGGGCTTACTTCCTCGCTGCATCTTGCGTAGCATTTGTTCCGTGTTCGCCCCTGGGCAAACATGGAGTAAACAGTTCGCAAGGGTAAAATTGGATTCCCCTTGGAACTTCCTGGCGACACAGAAGTTCTCAGAGGCTTTGGCCTAAAGGGATGATGACGCTAATTTGACATCAGCAAATATTATAAAATTTTTTTTCGCATGAAATAGTAAGGAAAGGATTGGCTGCATAGGTATGCTACGTAACACTGTATCTTCTGTCAATATTTTCCTAGATATTCAATAAACGTTAGGTCTCACGATGAATTGCTTCAGATAAGGTATTTTCAAAAAAATCATACTACCAGTTTAGAAAAATTGATTATAAATCGATACCATTTGGCGATTGCTGTGCGAAAGCTGAAACCACACTCATTTCTACCAACGCTAACCTATTTTGAGGTTTTCCCACTGTTGCAAAAAACAGTATAGTTATGTATAATTTAGACCTAGCAGTATCTAATAGAAAATCAGACGTCTCATAGCGAGCCTCCTCTACACAAGAAGCTAAAAAAATGAGGTGCTGCTACATAGTTGTCAACGAGACACAGGGTAAAGGGTCAGCCTCTTCGGCGTGTTGGACGGTTCGATCAATGCACCAACGATCTTTACTGAAAAAACGAATACTTTCAAACTTTCAACACTGATACGCCGAATGAACTATATCTGCTAGCAAATTAGCGTGGGAAACGAAAAAAAAAAAAACACATATATTTTACATACCTAGATAGATATTGACAGATTTGCCAAGGAAAACGCATTAAGCATGTTGGATCAGCTTCGTAACCTCACTCGACAGCAGCAGCAGCACCACCACCACCACCACCACCATTTATATATCATGGATCAGTAATTAATTTGATATATATTGTAACATTTCAGCTTATAACAGATATTTATCTACAGAAGCCATTGTTTACTATAGTCTTTGTCCATATACTAGAGTCTATGTGTCATGGCCTACTTAGCGTACGAATCTGATAAGTTCATTCGTAGTGTTTGATATGCATAGGTTGGTGCCCGTTCGACGCGTGTAGAAGCTGAAGATCCCCAAAAAAACAAAGGCAGTTATGACTGTCATAGTGCATTAGTTCGAAGCTAAATATCGATACGTGTGCCCTGAGTGTTATCTAGCTTTTCAATGAGACTCTAGTTTTCGAAGTAGTACTGAGTTGCCGTTTCTGACAACAGCATTGCTTACAATTTCGATCCAAACACTGCGCAATGGTTCGGCTCGTAATAATTTTAGCTTTGCAGTGTTTGCCGACCAACAAGAAGACCAACGTTTTGAGTGACATTAAAAGTGGACAGGCTTTTTTCCTAATGCGTAAATATTGTAAAGTTTGACGGATATTGAACGTCGAGATACCCTGCTGGAATTCACGTCCGGCTCAATATTGCAAAATATGTTGGATGCAGGTAAATGAGATGTCGATGCGGGAGGTAAGTTGGGCTGACGCCGTTCGAGTACTTCGGGATGCCTCTTCGCCCGTACGCCTCATGATACTTCGAGAGAACCCCCAGACCCTATTCACCAGCAGCGAAAGTGAGTTTATGCTGTTTTTCGTTAACTGTTTATAGTAATTTTCGAAAGTTCGTATCAGACAGGGGCCTGTTGTTATCCTGAACATGTAAAGAATGACAAAGGCTTGCTTAGTTAGCACGTGTATGTATGCTTGCTTTCTACCAAGTTGTTGCATGTCATGTTTGATTTGGATTGAATGATAAGGTGCAGAATTGCAATGTCCAATCAAGGCTTGCACGGGCTTTAGCTTCGAAACAAAGTTAATCTGTATCCTAGTTTTGAAATGATGGTCGTGGTTTCTCCTTATTGTTATTGCTTTTTTAGCCTGCAGTCGCTAATACCTAACGTTTACGATACCACAAATCATAATTAGGTGATAAAGACAGACTTTGAATAGCAGCGGTCGCAAGCCATACGAATTTAGATTTGACACATTTCTCACAGCTAAAATTTCAGATGCAGCTATCTAAATAAATACATATCAACATACTATCTTTATATAAAGACCATTAATCTATCTTTGCTTTTATTCGAACTTTGATAATGAACGTGCTATTTGATGATGAGATCGTGCATGTATAGGGTTGAGGAAAAGCTATGGTCGGTTTTTTTTTTAGAGGAATCGAGTGGTGTCAGCGAGCGAAAGAACGTTGACCACTTTTTCTTCGTAGTCTGGCCTGTTCTTTAAAGGATCTAATAATTACGCTTATTATTTCCTGAGCCGCAGGACTAGATAGCACTTTACTTTATTATGGAACGCCCTGGTCCATTTTACTGCTCTAGTCCAAAAAGCGAGCCAAACTTCCACGAAAACATAAATTATTCCTCTTAGATAATCAAGTCGAGGATTTTTTAGTTATGTAGAATTTATACATTAATTATGGTCTGCATCACATTAAGTGAAAAAAGACTTTTGAATTAAATAGAAATTTCTTGTGACTAAATTTAACTTACGTATGTAATTTCATAATATAACTTCTTCCGAGATACTTTATTATTAATAATAAGTATAGCAATTTTCACTGAGTTGAAATCGAAATCTTGCGAAATTTTTAAATTACATTTCGGTAATAATGGGTAAAACGCTTTCAACGCAATAGCAATAGCGTGGTCTTGGTTGTATTAATTAGCCAAAAACTAGATCTGCATAAAAGTGAGCTATGTCGCTGGAGTTTTATGTATTGCTTCGTAATGTCTAATAGTAGCAACGTTTCTTGTCGACCCTGAAGTGACTTGTTAGGGAGTTACCATACAATATGCTAAATAGCCTTCAATTCGACTCAAGCAATCAACTCGACTTCATCAGCCAATGAAGTTATCTAATATTCGATACTAATGTTAACATTAATCTTAATGACAGACTCAGCTTCTGTGTTTTTTCAGAACCCTCAAAGTTTATCACGGTAGAACTACACAAATCAAGCGTGAAAGATCACTTAGGCCTCAGCTTTATTCAACGGACGTAAGTTTCATTATAACTCTCGCGCAGTAAAGAAAGATTAGAAAATTTATTAAACAAATGTTTACTAGACATTTCAAAAAATAAAAGTATTGAGAATCGTTAGATATATTGCATGGTATAAACCAGATAACACTGGCTGCTCCTTATCTTTTAATTATTTGTTTATTTCATTGCAGGAATGGTCGAGGAGTTTTCATTACCTACGTTGTAAGTTCGCTTATTATTTAAAGAGCTCATTAGTTATGCGCTTGATAATTTTGTCTATACGATCTTGAGAAAGTAATCAAGTGGAACTAGGCTCTATATATATATTAAGTTCAACTAAGGAACACGGATAAGGAAACACCGCCGTAAAGACCATTCCCTTCTTCAAAAATCAGAATAAGGAAGAAAATGATGATACTGCTTTTGAATAAGGTTGCGTCAAAGGATTGTCAGATATTATTCAGCTCCAGTCTCAAATGGGTAGTTGTTTTCCCTAACCCACCACATTCGGCTATCGTTAACACTAAAATTTACAAGAAATAAGGAACACGGTTTTCATTCCATGTTTGTCATGCGCTTAATACCTGTAATACAATGCATTTTTTGCAATGCAAGGTTTTTCAGCTCTAATGGACAGCAAAATGTGGTTTGCAGAGGTAGATTCTATACCAATCTATGAGGATTGAGTCCAATTAGACTTAGTAAAACGATTTTAGGAGTCAGTGTCCTTCTGTAATGGTCCTTGCAATGTTTCCAAGACCATATGAAGAGTTGTCGTGCCTTAATCGCTTAATACTTCAAAATCAGTTCCGAATGAAGGACACGAGGTCCAGGGCGCAGTATCGCGGTACCAGGCAAAAAACTTCTGGTCTGGTCTAAATAGCGCATTAGTACTTAATATTCTTAAAAATAAATTACTCGGTAGGTGCATTTCTATAACCTTGCAAATACTTAAAGTAAGTTGTTGTATAAATTTAACGCTATTTTTACTGAATACACAACCCGACGGCTAATTAAAACGGTGTCGAATCAAACAAAGTAAACAAACTGGTCCCTTTTGCTTGTACATAAGACGTATTTCTTCAGAAGTTAAGATATCAAAATAAAACCCTATCCATACGAGTGGATGGAGTCAATGAATACATCGCCCCGGTGGGCGTATTTACGCCCTATTTCAGATCTTTATGAATTTGCAGTCTTTATAAGGGTTGCATCTTTTTTGAAAAGATAGTGTTGTAATCCGCAATAAGTTGCGCTACTTCCTGAGTGCTGCTCTTCACTATAAACTTGCTGTATTCCTTTAGCCCGCATCCTACAAACTCCAAAAGAGGCTTGAGTAACGCTGTACAAGACTGAGCATTTCTTACACAAACTATGTATAGCAAACATAGTGGAACAAAAATCTAGCAAGCATTTTAAGTCTGATGTCCGTCAGCTCCAAAAGTACCAGTTTACGATATATTATTATGTTTTTCATTTTTGCTAATAATATGAGAACACGATTTTATTAACGATAACTAGAGGCACAGCCAGCAAATAAGGATGCAATTTTTGTTTTGATAAGTCACTGCAGCTCTAGCGTCGTCGTAATGGTTGGGTGGTGATGTGCTTGCCTTTCACCCTAGGTGACACGTACGGTCCCACAAGTTTGAAACTAGGCATGTACACCTTACGTTCTTCTGGGAGTCAGCTATTTCAAGTGACTCCAGACGGTTTGAAGACTAATTCGGTATCAATCAAAAAAACAACTGTAGATCACGTTTCGAATGTACAATTTTTATTCATTGCATTAAAATAAACGTTTAGAAAAACTACTGCCTGTTAGAAATGCTCAATAGATTTTTTTCGTTTATAGCAGATAGTGATTTTTCAGCTAGGTATTTCCCCCAGCACAAGAGAACCATCCACCTTAATATAGGATAGGTCGTGAACTAGCACTAACCTATGATTCCCGAGGGCCCAGCCTTCAAACCTTTGGCTTTTGGATTTTCTCAAATTTATCCAGTTGTTAATTAGAACTGACCCTGACATATTTAAACAGACAGCTAGCTATTTTGGCAGTGAGAGGTTTTATCATACGTTTATTCTTCATTGGCAAAACAAATGGCAATGTTAAGGGAAACCCGCAGACTGAGAGCTCTACGTCCAAAAATTGACGATCCGTATTAAGAATTCAATATTTGTATTGCAATTTTATTATTCTATTTTACGGACCCCAGACCTTAGTCGGCGTTGGTTTCGTCATTAATTCAACTAATCTCAGAACTCACGCTCAGCTAAAATGTACCTCGATTAGACATCTGAAGTGATTTCCTTGGGATCATTTTGCTCCACCAATCCCGTCATCGGTTTCCTATTCTCACACTTTGCCTATGGGATACGCATCGAGTTATCGAACAGCTTGTCCTAATATTCGTAAATTTGATTGCTAGTACGCCTAATCTAACATCCCATTGCAGTTATCGGGTCCTAGTAATTCTATTTCTCCAATCATATTGTTGTAATGGTCGCACGTAATAAAATCGGGTCTATTTCCCTTGTGTCAATAACGTTGCCGCCCTTATCAAGCTAGCCTATACCTATACAATTATCCAAAAGCATTATTCACGTCACCTTAGGATTGTGACTCCGTTCGCCTTTTATCGACCGTCGCAGTAATCCTGTTATTTTATTACACTTAACCCATATCTTTTTCCTATGCATAGTACGATCGTTACTTCAACGTTTATAATATAATCCTAGACAAATATTACTTCACCTATATATAGGGAACGTTGATGGCTGGTTGCCCACGCAGCGTCAGCCGACAGAAGCTCTAACGAAAATGTGGACCTATCATGTTGGCTTCGTCATTTTTCCCTGCTAATGAATAACTGTGTGAGTCTGCTGAACGTTCTTGCAGACCCAATACACTGCTGCACCTTTGCCGTTTTGTTTGTTGGAGTTAATCCATATTGCAGCGTTCGCGTTGATATAGTTCACATAGGCTTAACTTTTTCCATAGAAAAAAACTTTCCAGTCACAGCAATTTACGGAACGTGTTTTTTTTTTTTTAATTTCCTATTGTGTAACCTTGTAGAAGTTGAAAAACAATTTCCCAATATAAAACTCGCAGCAATTGTTGGCCCTTGATCAGACTATAATCTAAAAAGTCAAATGCGTCCAAAATTAATAATAGTAATTAAAAATAACAAACGTACACATACAGGCTAACAGGCGCAGACCTGTAACAATGTATAGATCACTTGAACGTATTACTTTCTGAGAAATATAACACGAATAACCGCATACCTGTATCTTTGATCGTATTCACTATTGAACAGGAACTTAGGAACTGTACTATTGCCGCATCGCTTCTTTGTCCTTCGGTAGGAAAGCTTTTGAAGGAGAGCCTTCACCGCTTCGTCGGCACCTTTTTGAGCATTTTGAGCCAATGCCTCTTCGAATTTCATTTTCGGTCGTCTTATTTTCCTCGAAGATTCGATTAACGCTGGCTGAACCCAAAGTCTTCCCTTTAGTTTTTCTTTTGTCCTTTGCGTTGTTGCAGCGGATTGGCAATTGTTACTGCTATTCTGGTATTCTGTACGACGGCGCTGGCGTGCCCTAAGCAGTAACATCGCACGCTAGGAACTGGTCCGCAGACCACGGGGCCAATGCTATGATGTTCCGGCGAAGAGCGAAATTGGCCGACAAGTCCATCGCACATTACCATTATTATAACTGAGGAATAACGTCATTAAGTAAGCTATAGCAAACCTGTCGGCGAAAAGCCGACACGACATGTTTTCCGTCGAGGTTTCAAACTGCCTAGATTCGTATTACGTTAATACTTAGTGGCTGCAAAAAGATGGGTGGAGACATTCAACCAGACTTGGACGCTAACTCCTATAGATTGAGGATTTTTCCTATGCCTTGTTTATAGAACTGTATTTACACAAAAACAAATGATTCGATATTGTTTCTCATGTGTTGACATTGATTGATGATTGACAGCCATGGTTATTCTATATAAGCACCGTGCAGCGCGATTACAGTTTCCATTCGGGACGTAAACTACTAAGTAGCTGTTTTCAGTATATTCGTTTTTTAAAGTGTATACTCGGTAAAGGGTCGTTCAGAGATGATGCTGTGTGCAAAAAAAAGAAACACATGGAATGTAATTTTCGCCTGATAGAGCGCCATAAGGAAGGGTTCGAGATGGCTGAGACTCACAATTGGAGCTTATTTTGACGCCCCAATTAGCAATCAATATTCTGTTTTTTAAAACAGCTATTAATTTCTGTGGCAAAAACCTAGGCGTATTAAAAGGGGCTTGTTAGACGTCTTGATGGCCTTTCAGCGAGGAGTTCCCGATTCGCCTCATGTAAATCTTCCTCAGATCTTTTAGAAGCCACACGAAAACTGGCAATAACTTCGTACTTCGCCTACGAACACTCTGATCTTTAATCTTGCTATGACAAATTTCTATTTAGATTCTGGAAAAAGCCGGCTTTCATGTAGTCCAAAAAGTAGCAGATGAATGCGTGCCGGCTACGACAAAAAAGCCCACGGAAGTTTTTCCCAGTATAAACGAGCCTTGTACAATGCAGCGGCAACAACAAACGGCTTGTCGTGACGGCGTTTATTACGTACGTTTTTGAATACCGTGAATTCGCCTCAGAAGATGTTGGAAACGTACTCACCAATATGAAATGCGAAAATAGTGAACATTACGCGTCGCATGCAAGACCATAATTTCATGTTCTCTGAGTTTAAATTATCTCAGGGTTGAAACAAAGACGTTCTCAAACTCATAAAAGATTTAGGAAGGAAGATATTCGATGATATAGCAGAAGCTCGCACTACGGTTTTTCTAAAACAAGGGGTGTAGCTGAAACTACAATGAAGAAATGTAAAGCTAGACATGGCGGCACAGTTCAATCATTAAATGAATAATAGAGATTATACATTTGTAATGAGGATCCTAAAACGGGGACTCTAAAACAAATGGAAATAATCTTAATGATCTTTAATATTATAGCATTAATATTCAAGTGTACGCATATATCTATGTGTGTGAAAGGGAAGGGGGTGAAGGTAGGTGACTCGAGAGGTAGGTGAGCTGCAGACGCATATGCATTTTCATATGCATTAACTATCAAACAGTTTTAGCTGAAGGTGAAGAAAATACACTTCATTTTTGGAATGCATTCTCAGGTTCTTATATATACATATACTTAACTAACGTAGCCAAATCCCATTACACAAGATCCGGTAATATTAAGCGCCGATTAGGTATATTGTATAGGTACTAGTTTCAAGGAACTTCAACCGCTGGGAGTTCTCCCACTACTCTCCGTTAAAAACTTTGTACTCAGGCGAAGAATAAAGGGTCTGAAACATTGATGTTGCATTGAAAGCCTTCGGGTCAATTACGCCCGTCAATTATTACGTCAATTATTTTGTTTGACTGACTCGCAATTAACCCGCAATAATAATAAATTGAACAATCTAGCTTTATTTCTGGTTCAAGGCCCTCGATTTTTAATTGTCCATTGGTTTCAGTAGTTCTATGAGAAGTCTTTTACAGGGGATGATGCATTGCTGGTTCATTACTGTGCTTTGTTAAGAACGTCTTTGTAACAGATGTGATACATGGAAGACCTATGAAAGCTACCTAATATTATCAAGTGGTACTTGAAGAAGTTGTCCTATAATGGCTACTTTGTACGCAAAAGCCGAGTATTTATTGGTGACAGATGGCAGTACTGCGAAAAGTATGTTTAAATAACTAGTTTTTACCAGCTTCGAATGGCAGTGGTCTCATGCCAATTGCTTTTTCATGTGAAGTTATAATTATTTGCAAACGATAAGTGTTTATGTGTACTTGAAAGTCAGTTGCATTTTAACAGGCAGTATTTTAACTAAAAGCAATTTAAATTGAAGTTCTATATACCTGTTGTCGGTGCCCTTTCTATAACTCGGACAACTAGGGTTCAAATTATCATGAACTTTCTATTATGAAGGCAGACACGTTAATTGTACACACGATGCTAGTTGACATTGATTGCAGTTTTTCTAGAAGTGCTCATTAACAATATACTTGTACTACTGCTTGTACTGCTATTTGCCCCACGAATATGTGGGACATATGATGCATATTTTCACTGTCAAAAACAGTCCGGTGACATCTTCATTTGAAGTTATAAGTCGATGCTAGTATTCAGGCGATACGTCAGAGTCGTATCGTATTCGGCTGGGGAAGCGACGACTACACAGCGTTAGTGAAGGACCGTATGTTAGTTATTTCCTTAATTATGTTTTTACTTAACTCGCCTCATTGTTTCCAATATTTTAGTAAGTACGGTATAGTCGCAGAAACTCGTAGTGGTACAGCTTCGAACCCGAACGTAGACACGTTTGGCTGTGCGCTAAGGGTCAGCCGTTCGATCGAGCCCCCAACAACGGTGCCGGACGTAAAGTTCGAGATATTTAATCCGCACTTGTTTGTCTATAAAATCGCAGACCGGAACTACTCTGTAAGCTTCAGTAACTATTGAAAGATTAATTAATTAATAGGTAAAATCATTAGGTTAGACAACTTATTTAAATTTATATGAATTCCCCCTACCCCTATATTTATGAGAAAACAATGATGTGTGTTATATTGCACAAACACGAGCTGCGTTGCTCGTGTAAGTTACAAACGCTTGAACACAACACAAAACAAAAGAACGTTATCTCGGTGGTGACATTTTATTAAATAAAGCTAAAAAGTAAGCTAAACTTTTTTTGGCCGAACTTTGCTTAATCAGTTAGTTTTATGAAAAGAGATAACGCAGCCAGGAAGTAAGTAGATTTAGCAGGAAGGACCTTCAATTGAAGATGCACCCGCCTGCTTCGTCATAATGTACCATTGTGTACGTGGCTGTGTGTGTTTAGCTATGTGGATATGGCGGCCTTGTAATCACAAAGCAGCTTTCTCATAGACTCTCCTGATACTAGGCGCTTAAGGGAAGATTTGCCTATACCTACAGCGGTACCCCTAACCCACACGGGGTTTGCTGTGCCCCCAATACCTTTATTTACTAATACAAAGACTATTTGGTATTATACGTATGTATCTACGTCGATGAGCTTCACCTATAGCAGTGCAGAACATACAGTTGGCTGGGAATATGGTAGTCACCGGGTTAAAGAGAGAGATCGTTAATAGCAACTCAAATGCTCACAGGCTCTAGGACGGCCGATAGCTTACTCTGGTTAATTTAATGGCTCTGTAAATTCTGTTGGAGGAAGCACCACAGCAGAGAGCCCGCACTCTGGTGTCGGCCCTCGCGTCTGATACGTAGTACGCACAGATGCGCTAATAAGGCAGGACAAATTATAATCTTGTTGCGTTTCTTAATGACAGCTCCTTTTAGGAAATATTCTATACATATGTGGTAAATAGTATCGATGCAAGTAAGATAGCTGGCAAATCAGGCTATTTGCGTGTGGTGTGTAAACAGTTTTTATTGGATTTACTTTATTGTTAATTTGTCATATGTTTAAAAAACACACACACAGCATACTACATACATGTACACATGTAGTATGTTTCCACTAGGTCTTTGCCCAGGGAACGCTCTCGTTAGAACGAAACCACAGCTTACAGGATAAGACCTCCTTCCGTCCTCGTCCCAGGAAGTGGGCTAGCAACAGAGATCCTTGGACTATCCTTAAGCAGTCTAGAAGCATGCTCGTCATATCTAGGAATAGATTTTGACACGACAGAATCTCCCGCGGAGTACCGGACATAAAATGTGCTTTATAGCATTAAAACAACCGTCTTAACAGCCTAATCACTAATTCGATTTCAAATTGGCCTTCATATAGAAAGTGTATAGTGAAGCATTGCTACAGGTTTTATAGTATTTGAAGGCTGTCGCTTTTAATTTTATACTCCCTATTGGGGTCGCTAACGTAAACATCATTTATCGAGAATATTTCATAGGTTCTTCACCTAAGCTAGGCGGGGAAAGTATTGCTCTGAAGAATGTAGACAGGTCATCAGTGCACTGTAATTGCACCGATGTGCTAGCGCAAACTGATCACTGAAACAGAGTTCCGCTTATATATATATATATATATATATATAAATTATTTGCCATTTTGCAACCAAGCTAAACTCATAGAGAACCTTAGAGATATTTAACATTTGAGGAGACGTACGTAACGCTAGATAGGCATCTCGAGAAAACAGTCAGGAGTACAATGAAATTCTCAAAGCAGTACATTACAAGCTAAAACGGAAATTTGTCAAGACTGAATTATAGATAGAATGGGTAGGCTGAAGTCCAGTTGAAGCGACAAATCGACATTTTTAGAGCACAGCAAACGAGCACATCATTGTGACGGAAGTTAAATATGGATATTTAGGGCATTTGCAACGTCTGAACTAATTTTTGTTTTTTTTTTCCGTTATACCATTGTAGTTGAGAGGTGGTTCGTCCACCATTTTACTAAATTTCAACTTTGAAAATTTCAGCAACCGGGAAGTATTGCGGCACGGTGTCGCCGCATTATGCAAGGCGACAGAATCATGGAGATCAATGGTGTTAACGTACACAACTCAAATCAAAAAGATGTTGCTGAGATGATTCGGGTAAGTATCGCATAGGTAACTATTTCAGTGATCCGATCTTTTCATTGTATCTCATTTGTACGCTCCAAAATAAACGTCTCGAAATTGACCTGACACAACTAACTTATTCAGCATCGATCGGAGGAACTTAATTCGTTATACGAATAAACGATATAGTGTCTTCTTTAAATAAATTTCAAACGAGTATAGAGAAAGTAAAAGCTACACAATCGTACCTTTTTCACCGTAGCCAGCAAACGTTTGTTTTCTCAACTAAGTCTTTTCCAGTTTGAACAACAAAACGTTGAAGGTGGGTTTAGTATGTGTAGCCCTTGGATGTAACAAAAAAATACCTTTACATGGCTTTTTAGCTATGAGCAAATATCTAGTTTTCGTTTTTTTTTTTAGTGTTTGTGCTAAATATTGAGGCGCTCAAACAGTCAAAGCTGCCTTATCTCGTAAAAATAGTACGAGCTTCTGAATAACTGCGCCAAACAGGAGAGCTAAATGTTTATGTTACTTGAGTTGAGGGCCCGAGCTTGCCTTTTAGAGGTGTTGTTTTAAACACAGATTTTTCTGCGTAAAATTTTGCCAATTGGTATGACCGTTACTTTCTTCCGCAGTATCCTTTTTTAGCAAAGATCTCAATACCTGCTTAGAATCTATAAAAGCTTTATATTGGAAAATATTTGCTGTCTCAGATTCTACAAAGTGGGTACTAATTGAATTTTGGGACAAAGTGAGTCCTTCAAGTTACTGCAATTTGCAAGTGAAACGGTTATTTTTGCATTGCAACGGACATTGAAAGAAATTGATAAAATATGTAAATGAGGAAGTTGAAGGGCAGGCTAACTGAACTCGGGGAACAGGATATGTGAAGTCCTTTAAGGTCTAAAAACTTGTTTTCATGCTCTTTTAATAACATATATATTCATAGCACTTTTCCATGGCTAAACTGTTAAAAAAGTATCCACTCTTCTTAAGCAAATATTTTTTTATAATTTAGCATATTATGACTAAGCATATTATGTGCAATTTTGATCGATGACCTCCTGCTATATCGCTGGCAACGCCGTAACTTTATTACTGTAGGTTGTGTGGTTTCTGAAAGAAAAATTGTGACAAGTAGTTCGTGCCACCCACCACTGAAGCAGCATTACCACCGTTAAGGTAATTCTTCAGAAACAAAAACTAAAAGTAGCTAAAAATGTACCTGGTTTAGCATTTTCGTGGTTAAGAACGACATTTTCCTTGTTTATTAATTTTGGTCGATTTTCTTTAAAGGCTGTTATTATCTTGCTAGTTGTTAGCAGCAGAGTTCCGAATCAATCATTGTGCCCGGCGGTAGCAGTTTATAACGCAGGACTCCTTTCCGGTGCTATAAAACACATAGACAGCATCACTTTTTAACTTAAATTTTAAATACATCTTTTCTACATTGTTTTCTTCATTTGCACATTAAGATTGTATCTGATTTATTACCTATGACCTGTAGTCGACTTCGATAGAAATAGCTCGATTTCGATTTATTTTTGCAGAGTTCTACAGGTGGTGTCTTTTCTTGTAGCCAGTTTCCTTTAAATGATTTAGAATTATCTGATGATGAACGTTTAACTTCTTAGCAATATCATGGCTACCTAAGTTTAGATGTTGCTCAACTTTCTCAATAGTTTTATTAACTTTTTTCCGTGATCAGTCGATCGTTAAATAGAAAATCTTTCACAACAAAGCTTCCGGAACAAAGGCGACAGAGCTATTTTTGGCAATAACGCATATTGGTTAAGAACAACACACATCCTGTTATGGGCTTGGGCAGCATTTGTGCTTGTGTCGAAATAGAACTGCAGAATTTTGTGATTTTTTTGCTGATATTTGACTTACGTTCAAAGCGCTCTATCGTAAATGTAAATAAAGCCATTCCAACAATATTAGCACATTTGCTAGTGCCAAATCTCAGCCTTCGAATCATATCCGAGGCTGCTTCACTCTTCGAACACCGATACGTCTTGTTAATTTGTCATTGCAGTGTAGTTTTACTCATCATAATGAATAAAGGCCCTGTTCCTTTTTTTGCTTTCCTATTGTAATTCTTTATGTCCTCTTGAATGCACCGAACAAAAATTCTTCTGAAGACGTCGACCCGATTCTTCTTCTAAATTCGATGAACACTTAAAAAATGCCTTCCATTTTCGACGAGTGCTACAGATCCGTAAACATAAATAGGGCTGGAGGCTCTCTTAGAAACACTTGCATTGTTTAAATCACGCCAAAACGTTAGTGATGCTCTGATTTAGAGGAGCAGGTAGCTTAAACTCGTAAATACGTTAATCTTGATTTTGTGGCCTTTTTTGGTTACTAATTTGGCCTTAGCCTCCTTTCACATTGGTGTGCAGGGTATTATTTGAGACATTTCCTAATATTTACCAGTCGGATAGGGTCTTCAGGCTGTTGCAAAGGTCACCAAGTAATTTGCCCGCGTATTATCGATAGAATAATTTCCTCATTTTGATCCCTGTTCTCTATATATATATGCGTCATTTCTAGTATCTGTCGAAATTCACCGATTAAGAAATGACGACATGTTACCACATCTTCATAATTATAAGGCTTGCAGCATAAACAGATTAGTGCGCGACTAAATATACAGCTTCGCCAGTCGTATCTGTAGAAATAGAGGGAAGTAGAAACAGGCAACAAACAGATAAACGGATGGACGGACGCTGTCTGTAATTCAGATTAGCATTGGTGCGTTGGCCTTATGCACGCAGCGACCTCTTTGTGTTTGGTCATACCCCTGCGGCGTGCTGCGGTAGATAAACAAGTATGCAGGCAGGTGCATTTTACAAGCTGCTGCATGACCTGTTGAGCGGATACGCCGGATGAGCATCTGTAATCCGGCATAAATCATAGTTACTACTAACAAGTACGATATTATTTTACTGTACGGTTATAACAATTCAATGGTGTAGCATTACAATTGATTTGGTAATATAATTTGACGATGTGCAATTGCACAGGTATGGATGGACGTTTTTCGTGGCTTTTCGTTCAGAAAATGGGCATCATCAAAGAATGTGTTCTAGCTACTCTAAGGCGTACTATGTACGGCATATATACATACATATAGAACGCTCCGCAACTCTACAAATCGCCCAAGAAAACCCAGTGCGAAACGGACCCATTAGAAAGTTGTTGACTAAGCCGCCGGGACTTTACACGACGCTACCAACCAGTTGTGCTCCAAGTAGAAGACCGCTGATAGCCGTATGGGATTTTGTGATTGATCATCCCAAAGATAGGAGCGGCGCTTATAACGATGCTAGGCTGAGCCTATTGTTGTAGTACAAACCCTGCTTCACGAAGCAGCTGATGTATGTGTTGGAATATACGCCGTCTATTGAGAAATTCTTTTCTCTAAGTGAATTGTGTGGTCCGTAGGATCGTATTTTAGATGCACATCTGCCTTTCAGCCCTCGTGAACTGCTCGATCGAGCACTGAATGCTACATGCCCTACTTTACTATTCGACAATATCGGGCCTGTGTTCTGCTTAGCGGTTTAGAAGCATTTGCTGTGATAGGGAGGCGTTTTGTTAGCCTAAGTGAGCCTTTAACTACTATTTAATCAACGACGAAAATGTAATTTTTAGATTACTTACTGTAGTGGATAATAGTCTTAGTATTCCAATGAATGAGATGTTTACATTCTCGGATATACCGTGATCAGCTGCTTGTACCCCCAGTTTCTTTAGTAAGGGCATCAGACCTCTATACATACGTCTTTTTAGCTTTTCTAACTGAAATCGTCTTTGTCGCTCAACTACCGATAGGCGTAAGTGACGTATATAAGCGCTGAGAACGTGTCAATTCAACGCAAACTCCAGCCTACATCAAACAAAACAACAGCACTTCAGTGTCGTTACTGAGTCTACTTCTCCGAGTTTGTGGTCGATTTCTGAAACTTCACGTATTGAACTTGAATTGAGATTAACTCTATAAAGTTAGATTTATCTCTCCCTCTATCTAAAGAAGATGAACTTAACCTGAGAATAGTTTGTTGACTAAAGGATTCGTGTCGTCTCAACCTGTTTGTGTTTTTCGCGAACTTTATCAGAATATGGACGGTGCGATCGTGTTACTACTGGGACGGGTCCCCGGGTTAACCGCTCGAATCCAGGAGTGGGCCCGTCGGAAGTCCCAGCAGTCGCTGCGCACTAGGACTTCCACTTGGTCATCATACACAGGTACATATACACTAACTGAAATTCGGGCTCGTCTAGGTAGAAAATTGATTTAGCCTGGCTACTCTATATATGCACGCCACGATAAGTTCGGGTGGTCGTAAACATAACTGCAAATAAAGGTCACAGGTTGGCTAGTGTACGGTGTCAACGCATGCGGCGTTAACTCCAAGGACACTACGTAAATAATACGATGTTCTCCCATTAGGCAACAACAAAGAGAAATTACAGATTCAGCGTCCATCTTTGCCCCTTTCCTCCGAAAGCTACGTTGTCTCCTTCGGTAACACGGTTGCGTCAATGCTAGTCGCCACCTCGAGCCCAAGTGGACCCGGCAGTAGAAGTAGGGAGATTTCGCCCTCACCCAGCATCAGAAGGTATGCTAGGCTCTTCGTGTATGTAAATCATTTCATGTTACCCCGTTCACACAAGCTCTATAAGGTCAAATTCTCGATCTATTAGGAATAGATCTTTTACCTTATAGAATATCGAACTATACTCCATAAGGTAAAAGATCGATAATCGCATTGAGAATCTTTCTTTTTCCAGGCTAACTTTGACAACTGTTCCGCTATTAGTTTCTATCTGAAATTTAGACGTTGAGGTTGGTAGGCTCAAGCAATGAACACCAGAGTGATCTTAATCGCGTAACCTAGCATAAAGATAAATCATTACATCAACAACCCTGAACTTTGCATTCCTAGTTTTCTACACGCTTTACGGGTTTTTTCCGTCTAGCGCAAGTTAATGCATCTTTAAAAGTGGATTCTATCACGCGAGTTGCATTTTGCACCAGAAAGATGTTCACCTATAAAATCCGTCTACTGTTCTGTCTATAATGCTACGTAAAGCAGTTATCTTAGCGCCATCGCAGGAGTAGAAAACTCTCGAAGGCCTAGGCTAAGGCAACCATAGCGTCAGCAATAACTCACATGAAGGAAAATGTAGAAGGTACTTATGGTTCTTGAAATCCTTCTGCGTGTTTCTCAGCTTGCTTAGCTTTTGTTTTTTTCTAGACACGGTGTGGCTAAACTTTTTCTCGTACCCTTCTGCGGGATGGATCCTGCATTCACTGAAAGGCAAACTTAGTCCTTCCGTGAAATCAACGCTTCACCTAGTAAATATAGTAGGTTATTGATTGGTAGGGTTCCGGAACGTTCGTTCAAGGGCCAAGAAGCTTCTTTTGTTTGGTAAATAAAAAGACAGGAGCCAGCTAGTCAATAAGAAAAATTCATTCACTGTGGTCACTCGACACTGCTACCGGGCCAGAGCCCTTCCGGAAGAGATTGGGTGACCCCCAAATGCACCGGTAGTCGTTGCAGAGGGGCTAAAAAATTGAATTAGTCCGTAGATCAGCATTCCCTATAAGGGATTATGAGAGGCACTACCGTACAGGTTACTGAGCGAAATACGAGCTGTAGCTATTCAGAGTGATAGAAGCGAACGGTTACGTTAACCAAGAAGCTGTCCTATTTTGACGTAATAGTTGCTTAGCTAGAAAAATCGTCAGCGACGGTCTCGGCATCCCATACATAAATAATGCGTAGTGACTTCGTTACATGAAGTGAAAATGTTGAACAAGATCGGTATCGTTTGCTTGCTTTTCATGGCCTTAAAGGAAAGGGAAAGGACAAGACGAATCGATTAACCCTAGGAAGCCCTATTTCAGTCTCGACAGTTATGCTGGTAATAAGGTACAAGGTATAAAGTTGAACAAATAAGTTAAATCTAGTAAGATTATGCTTTATATTATTGTATTCTACATATAATAATCTGATTTTAATTTTGCGAGCTGCGCTTTCAATGTCCAAACTTGCCTATACTGGTGGTCAATTTTGTTCAGGCTTAGCGTGTCCGCACTACGAGAAGCACGAGGTAAAGTTTATGCTTCACAGTGACGTCAAATTTTTTCGTTTTTTTGTTAAGTCTTCAACTATTTATACTCTGTGAACAAATCCTCGAAATCGACAAAACATTGAGAATTTGAAGCACTAGAAATTCTATGTAGGGTGTGTCTTGTTAAACTCACCTAGGGTTTCTGTAATAGGCCTATATAAAACGCATGATAATCATATACCATAGTGACCATTTGTCATTGACGACGACGTGGCAGTGACGATTATGGCAGTGCACTGAAAATCGATGCGCCTTACCCAACTAGATGGTACCGCCCGCCCTGTAGCCCTTTGTAAAATGTAAAGTATCTAATTGTTCGTCGGTCATGATAATGGGGTGCTCGAAATACATATGGAGGGCCTCTTTTTCTCGATATTCATCACGTCCTCAAATAGAAATTTCTTCGTGTCCTGTCAGTCAGTCAGTGAAACCAGTTCCAACCTAAATGTCTCGTACACTAATTCACTACCACCATTCAGTATCTATTGATTTCGAAAAGGCCTCGTCCTTAAAGCACGTTAAATTTGACAAACTTCCTATTGCAAAACAGTTAACCTAATCTTCCCAGTCTGTTTGTACATTTGTTCCCTCAACTATTGTCAATAACGTTCCCGTCCTCGTTAGGATTTACCAGTGCTTCACCACCGACGTTGCGTTTGTGCTAGCACAGGTGCTGGACTTCCTTCGACTAAAAACGAATACAGTTCATTTATTTGAACAACTCTGCCTATGCAAGTGTATTAATACGTTTTAGCCTAAGCTCTGTAGATAGCAATAAATCTAGCGTGTACACACGTGAGCATGTTCTTCCATCTAAGTCGCGTCCTTATTTCAGATCTCGACTATCAATGGTAAGCGAGAACACAAACATAAACGATTCTGAAGAATTGTCCTGGAAACAACATCAGCAGAAAAGCTCGAGAGGGGCAAAAGATCGCGCGTCGACAAGCTCAGACACCGCACTCGCGGAGGGGACTGGACTTAAGGACAAAGAGAAAAATGTAGTGGGACGGACGTTCAGTGCCACCTATACAGAACACGGCAGTACTAGCCCAGGTACTGCGAAAGCCGCTAAAGGCAAAGAGCCAGCAAGAACTGTACCTAGCATTAAGATCACCGTATTCTAGCTTTTATCATCCGCCTTTCGCAGGCCTAATCACAACAACGACAGCAACTATGACTGCTACATTAAAAAGACGATTACGCCAAACGTTGCTGTTATTACGTCGAAGATAAACAGACAGTGTCAGCAACTGCCAGCACGTCAACGATATACAATACCCATGTACATATCTAACTAGGCAATAGCGGTAGATAGCTGCTTTTTTTGGGCTATAGACGGTACACAATAATCGACCATTTCATTCTTAATGTTCATTTTTCAAAAGCCATTTGTTTGACCCTCGGCAAGCGTCATCATTACTACCCAAAGCAAATGAACAATGCGCAATATCCATTAAAGATCCGAAACTGTTCTCCTAAATAATAAAAAGCCTGATGTCGATTGGGTTGCGACTAAGTAGTTAATTTTATGAGAACACATGAGTTCAAATATAACACAATGCTCTGCACGCTAGTGTTACAGTTGATCAGACAGCTGAAGTGAGCGCTCAGAGAATATACTAGATTGGTTCTGAAAAGGAAACTGGAGATATAAAGCCACAGTAACTTACATAGAAGAACAGTGTGCTTCCGATCGAATCCAAATGAATATAACGATATATAAATAGATTGACACATAAAATAATCGTTGGTTATGTTGCGGCCAAACGATCAGTTACTTAGTTAACTACGGTTATCGTCATTGAAGGTGAACGTACGTTGTCTTGGCTGATATTTTACTCAGATGTTGAACCAGAACGTATCACGTGTGCGCTATGAACACGCCATCCATCAGAACGGTCAGTGCAATGAATTGCAGTGTAATAATTAGACTAACATGGATAGAAAAACCCGGTAGAGATAGCGTATCAACAAATCGAGTGTATATGGACTAACAGGCCGCAACGACGATCCCAGCTGAGCCGTTTTTCTACGCCAACAAACGAGAACAGCTAACGATATTTTCCCAACATTCATAGCTATCTCTCTAGTATTGAAGTTCCTCTATGGAAGTTTTCGTCCGAGTCACGACCCAGTTGCTATGCGCAAAGATGGCGAAGCTTTAACTAATTCTTGGATAGTTGTCAGAAACCGTTAAGCCCTATACACATCCAACGTACTCTGCAGCGGTTTGCGAACATTCAACCCGGGACGGGATTATAGTCTTTGCATGAAACAGGAGCAAATGATATTAGCCTAGATTGAAGCCTATGAACGGTCAATTGTTCAGGAAGTGTTTGTCTGACGATTCTGACATATAGAAGCTAAATCGGCTATCGGACTAAACAGACTGACGCGATAAATGAACGAATAAAACGAGCCAAAAATACATTAAAAAACGTGATTCATTATTAACATAATAATTATGATGTAGGTATTTGGACATTTACAACGATATAAACACTACAATATATTGTATATAAAAAGGGTGAACGATTACAGACAAAAAACAGATCAGCTCGCTTTACTTTAGCTACAGTTTATCATTGTGATGAGAGGCACGGTCAGGATCTAGCACAGCGTTCCAAATACAGACGTCAAGCAAAATAAGTAGCCACTTCGGTCCAGCCATCCAGTAATCTATAGCTCATTGAAAAACGTATCAACAACAAACGTTTTGTATTAAACATGACTATTTACAGTTTTTAGATAAAGGATTTCAAGGATACGAGAATACGGAATTTTTACGCACGAATTGAGCCTGCACCGTTAAGGATATCTCACCTCCGTGTGTCAGCAATGCATGCGTACTTATATAAATACGCCAGCACTTCCCTTCTATGTGGAGGACTTCTTGCGCAAAGATCTTTGACAGGATTTTCCATAATAAACAAGCACGCCGACTTCTGCTGATGTTACAAGACAGATGTGCACGCATCTCAATATTATATTCATGTGACGGAATGAGAATTGTTTTTTGCTGAACATCCCCTGGGCTTGGGCATTATGGATTAATTCTATACTATATGGACAAGATATGCGAGCGCGATTAAAACTGGCGCCAGACGGTCAAATTAGCGGGAGCGCATGATAAACAGTAGGACGATGTGCACAGACCGGACCGGGCGATTTGAATGAATGACTGCTTCGGTAGCGAACAAGACCATCTAGACATCATGTCTTAACTATCAATGTTGGCCAAACATTTCATGCGATGACACAAGAGCGAGTACTACAAAGAATCGTTAATATGGCACAGTACACATGAGGTAATCTTTTATATTCGGGATAAATTACAGCTTTTTTTCTTGGATTTCGATATTGAAATACAACGCACTGTCATCCAATATACCTTTACGTAACAGTTATACCCATATAGGAATGGGCTACGCCATTCCAATGAATACGTTCCGTCACGTTTTGTTCGCGGTGTGTTGCATAGTCCAATCTGGCACCAACCAAAATAACACATAAGAAAAATCCGATCTACACGTGCGCCGATGGTTTATTGCCGACCTGTTGTTAGATGAAACAAAATACGCTGATTCAATTTCATTGGGATAAGACTCGAGTAGACTTCAGCTCAGGAACATCAAACTCTCACGAAGCCATCTTGTTGTTTCAAACGCGACCTCGTAATGATAATGGGGTCGTGCAAAATAACCATACAACAAGTGGGCAGTTAATTTAATCAGATGCAATAATAACCATCAAAAAAGTAACATAACTCTAATAATAACGCGGTAATGTTTTATATTCAGAGATGCACACAAATAAAGATGATTTTTGGTAGTACATATATCTCAGATGCTTTTCACTTTGACCTACGGAATAAACGACACACTGCTAAAATAACATAACTTCCATTGACAGATGACCTACTTAGCAAACTAAACCGTTTTGGTTAGGTGATACATTGTAATAATAAAACTGTGGTTTTGCAAGCAACTTTTCCGGCCCATTCCTCCATATCTCGTATATACTGAAACAACCGCTTCCCGCCTATCAACATTATATTCAATAT